ACCACATTGCTCTATACTATGGATTCCCATATTCACTGAGGACAGCATTAGGCAGATACCAAGTCATTTCTAAGTAAGCTCTTAGGACAATTGTTTGGTTTAAAAAAAAAAATTATGTCAAAGTCACCATTTTAAAGCACATGATTGGGTGGTATTGAGTATGTTCACAATGTTGTACAGCTGTTTCTACTAACAAGAGGAAACTGTACCAATGGATCAGTTACTCCTTACCTTCTCCCAAGCCCAGGATGACCACTGCTCTGCTCTCTATCTCTTTACTTGCCTGTTTGAACACTTTATATATGGACTCATACATGTTTTCCCATATCTGCTAGACTTCTTTCCTTAGTGAAGTTTTTTTTTATCCTTCCTTGGTTGTTTTCTTTTTGTTTTGTTTTATTTTGTTTTGGTTTTTGCATCCCTCCCAGTTCCCCATCAATTCCTTCCATGTCACCCCACACACACTCCCTCTCAATTTCTTGTCCTCTTCTTTGATTATTGTTTTTACATATACATACATTTATAAAGAAATATATAAATGTACTGAGTCCATTTAGGAGTGCTCATACGTACCTGTGTTTGGGGCTGCCTTTTGGGCTTAGATAACCTCTCAGAGAGCTAGTCCCTGGAGAAAACTGATTCTCCATCCCTCAGCATCCATTTATTGCCTATAGTTCTTCATCTTGAAGTAGGACCCTGTGACAGTCCCCCTATCCACCTTGGCATGTCAACTGATTTTGTCATTATGCAGATATTGTTGACTACCATACTGTGAAAATTTCATTGGTGCAGCTTCCCTGTCATGTCTAGGATGCACTAACAGCAGGTGTCTTGCCCCTCTGACTCTTACATTCTTTCTGCTCTATCATCCACAATGTTCTCTGAGTCTTAGGTGTAGAGGTTGTGCTATAGGTGTGTCACTTAAGGCTGGGCATCTCACAGACACTTATTCTCTGCCTTTATCCAGTTACAGAACTATGTAGTAGTCTCCACCTTTTGCAAAAAGAAGTTTCTTTAATGAGTGATGAGAGGCACACTTGTCTGTAAATATAGGGTTTGTATTTAGAGTGTAGTAAGAAATTGTGTCAGCCAAGGGAAATGACAGAAATAGTTTCTTCTCTAGGGTCTGTGACCTCTCTAGCCATATGTACTTGGCTATGTTTATAGTACCACATGTGATTTCACTACTATTGAGCAGCCTTAAGTCCAATTAGATAGCTGTTGATTGTCCCCAAGATAAAAGTGCCACTACTGCACTAATAGAGATAGGCTACTGGGTCAGTCATTGTTGTGATTTGTAGGCTTTGCAGCTGGGTAGGATCATTGATTGGTTTTCTCCCTTGTCAGCTTGCATACTGTTCTCTGATGCTGTGAGAGCTGGTCTTTAGGGAGGAGACTTCCAGTTCAATTCCAGTTCAATTGCTCCAAGCCCAGTGACCGAAGTATATCATATCTTCAGCAGTAAGGTCTCCCCTTCAAGTTCTGGGAGGCAATCCAAGGGTTATGGCAAAAGCGTATATTATTTTGGGAGTCTCTTGGATTACCCTGACGAACAAATCAAAGGGAGGTTCCTATGCCTAGCACTGTGATTTTTGTTATATAGCCTTTATATATATGCACTTACATTTATAGTTGTATTTTTCAATAGGCTTATTAAATACTACATTTCCCTTTGATTTTTTTTCATGCCACCTAAGAACTTTTTATATCTCCTCTGTCTCTTTCCCCCTATAATAGTCCCCCCTTTTTCTTCCCCCGTTAAAGAATTGCCCATTTCCCCTTGATAATTCCTGTCTCCTATTATGTCCCTCTCTCAAGCTCCTTTTTCCCCTCCCCACCCCCCATGGCTCCTTTCCATTTTCCTGACTCCTGCAGTTATATCAGGATATGTACTCATATCTGAGGATTTGGGGCTAGGATTCACTAATGAGAGAAAACATGCATCCCTTGTTTTTCTGAGTCTGGGTTACCTCACTTAGTTTAACAGTTTCTAGTTCCATCCATTTACCTGCAAATTTCATGATTTTGTTTCCTAGTGAAGTTTTAAGAAAGATACAAGATCTTAGACCCAGTCTCTACCCTCTGCTCCTCCAAAGCAGCTCTCTTATTACTGACCAAACCCCAAGCATGTTTAAGTAATAATGTAGTCATGTGGTCAAAAGGTAGGTGGAGTAAAACCAGATGGGGTCAGAAGTGTGGTTGTTGATACAGTGTCTTGACCTGGGACTTTAGGAAGCTACAGCTGGGCCAAGTTGAGTTCAACCTTACATCGTCTCCTGAAGGTCAGAGGTGACTGAGCTGTTGGCCCAAGTTCGCCAATCCTTGCTTATCCTCCTTTGCTGTAGGAGGTCTTGGCATTTTAGGCTATTCTTCATTTAATAACACTAGAACATTCCTGGATGGGCTAAGTCCTACATGAGCATCCTGGTAGCCCAGTTTACCTCACTGGTCCTATGGCAAAATTGAACTTGAGGAACTTTAAGAAATAGATGCTCTTTATCCTTTGTCTTGGAACTCCCAGGGGGTGAATACTTACCAGCCACAAAGACAGCAGCTGGCAGCTCCTTTAGTACCTTCTCTACAGTATCAGTGACAGCCATACTTGCCTTATGGGCTCTACATTGCCTCCCACATTGTTCCATGGAATTCAGATTCCAAGACACAATCTCTAGGTTGTACCCTTTGTCCTCCCCCTTGTTGCTGTCTCTGGAGTCTAGGCATACCACTGCCTGAAGGTGTGTGACCCATCAGCCTAAGAACCAGTTGTCAGTATTCCATCTTCTTCTTGAAACTCTTGATAGTAACTTGATGGCCAAACTCGATTGTAGTTTTTAGGGCTTTCTCTTTGCCTTGTTGTAGGCTATGACTCTACTGGTCTCATTCTTCTTCCCCTCTACACCATCCCTTACATCTCTTCCCCAAGTTTGGAATGACTGGCTGCTTTTGTATTAGTCTTATTCTTCCTTCAAAGTTTGCTTGAGGCCCAGCAGTTGCACAACCCTTGCCCCCACACTTTAGCACCTCTTGCTGTCTCCATTAAACTCATTGTTCCTGACTACAACAAATTTAGAGCTACAAACTTTTTCCTGAAGATTTTGTCTTTTAACCTTTTCCCCCAGTCAGATATCCAGATATCAGAGGAAGGGAACCCAGAATAAGCAAGTAGTACTAGTAGGAGGTCACCAGACTGAATTCAAGGACTGGGTCACCTCTGGATATACCATATGCTTGGCTGTGCTGTGTAGGAAAAGCCGTTTCTGTTGAACTTCTGTTTTCACCTGTGATGAAATAAGTGAGGAATACTATGTAATAGTTTCCTATTTGCTGCTACAAATGACTATAAGTCTAGTGGCATAGAGCAACACTGGTTTATTCTCTTGCAGTTTTAGAGGTCAGAAATCTAAAATGGGTCTTCAGGACTACATTCCTTCAGGAAGCTCCAGTAGTAAATGCATTTCCCTAGCTTTTCTGGCTAATATCCTCCTCTTCCATCTTAAAACAGCACTCTAACCTCCCCTTCTACTGTCACATCTGTGTGGCTCTCATATGTCCCTCTTTCTCTTTAAGGACCCTTGTGATATACTGACTTACCTAGATAATCCAGGAAACATCTCTATCTCATACTTAGTTGCATCTGCCAAAGTGTCTTTGTTTGTAAGGTAATTTATTTACAGGGTCTGAAGATCAGGATATAGATGTCTTGAGCTATTATTCTATCTATAGTGGATTCCTAGGTCTCCTATTAGGTTCTTATCACAAATATAAAGACATATTTCTTTAACTTAAGTGTTTAGCACATACAGTGCTAGGCTTATAATTTGATAAGTTATCTATAAGGATTTCCTCTTTCCAGATTGCTCTTAGACTCTGGGGGCCTGTATTGTATGATGCTTTTCCTGGATCACTCACCCTAGACAGGGAATGACAACAGATCAAAGTAAAGATACCACAAGAGTCCGGCTTGGTGAACCAATGAGTTTATGGGTTCATTTAATTATAATATGGGTAAAGGTTACTTAAAGAAGCAGGAATGACTCAAAGGCAGCTACATCACTGAACTCCCACCCCAGTATAGGCGATGGCTGATGAAAGCTGGGAATCCTGGTGCCCACTGCACAACTTGCAGGCAGCTTGGCTAGCCTGGGCCTCTTACAGACATCTTAGTCAGTTTCTATGTCCTCAGGGATCCTTACTGCTTATATAACCTTGAGGAGTCAGGGCCCCTTATACATCTGGTCAGTTTCAGGGACTTTGGAGACTTCTGGATTGTTTACTTCCTCCTGAGTCTCAACTGAGCCTCCCTTTAGAATTTTCTGTCTTAACAGGCTTCCCTTTAGAACTTCCTGGATCCTGAGGAGCCTAGGAGGAAATTGCTATACAACAGCCTGGTACAGCTCAGTGATAGAACTGTGAGCTCAGACCTTAGAATTGCTATGGTTTGTTTTTCACTTTTACACAAGAAAATCTGATGATGTACCTAGTTTTTATTTTGTGCTGTGAAAATTTAGAAAAGCATGCCAGGCTAGCTAGCCAGCCAGTCTAGCCCATTTGGCAAACTCCAGGTTCAGTGAGAGACCCTGTCTCAAAAAATAATGTGGAGAGAGATTGAGAAAGACACCTGATATCAATCTCTGGTCTCCACACATCATATGCACACAGCATACACACACACACACACACACATGCACGCACGCATGCACACACGAAGTTATACATACGTGCATATACACTATATATTTCTAGTGGAAGTTTGTTCTTTTGTCTTTTTGAGACAGGATCTCCCTTTAGCCCCAGCAGACCTAGAGCTTGCTATGTAGACCAGGCTGGCCTCTGAACTCAAAGAGATCTGCCCGCCTCTGCCTTCCAAGTGCTGGGATTAAAGGCGTGTGCCACCACAACAAGCTAAGTTTGAGGTTTTTTTGGTGACTTTGGCTTGATAACAATGAGAAATGCACAGAATGAGTCAAACAAGTCTGTGTCTGGCCTTTTGACCTCTTTCATTTTGTCTCCTAGATGCACCCACTGGGCCTGTGTAATAACAATGATGAAGAGGACTTGTATGAATATGGCTGGGTAGGAGTGGTAAAGCTGGAACAGCCAGAATTGGACCCGAAACCATGCCTCACTGTCCTAGGCAAGGTAAGCACCAGGCCTTCAGTCACTACATGGTGGTTGGGATTTTCCACTTAACTGTTTCCCTGAGTTTTCAAGTACTTGGTTCTAGAGGAGCGCCATGCTGGTGAGGTACTCCTCTCTCTGAAACTATGTGAGCAGACAGGCTAGGAGCCCACTGCAGGGTTCATGAGCTCTGACCCTGAAAGAGGCCCCTACCCTCAGAGTCTGCTCTACAGGCACCTACTGGGTGGCCTTTGGCAACTTGCCTTGACTTGGGGTCTTATCTGTGAAATGGGTTGATAGTTGGAATTTATCATACTTGCTGCATGTGATGGCCATGCCTTTAATCCCAGCACTCAGGAGGCAAAGGCAGGCAGATCTTGGTGTGAGATCTTATGAGATCTAGGCCAGCCTGGTCTACTTTATCTTACACTATGGGGGCCCCATGTTTCAGAATTTTGAGATTTGGGAAGTTTAAGAAAGTATTAAGGTGCATATATTTTCTATTAAGTAACCTTGAGGACCTATGGCAACACTCAGTAATCACACACATTACTTGTGTAGTAAATCATACAGATATTCACATTAAGTGGGATAACTGAAATCTAAATAGCCTCCTGTTAGCTCAGGGCAGCTTTGTGTCCAAATGAATTCAGGTCCATTAATTTTTGCTGCCAAGTAGTTATAGAAAAACTCGGGTTTTGGAGCTTTTTTGTTTGTTTGTTTCAGAATAGCAGATGGCAGTTATGGCCCTGTATTAAAACTTACTTCATAGGTGGTTAGGAGGTGAGATGAGATGAGATGCAAATGCTAGTGCCTCGTTTGTCGCTATTGGCTATTGGTACCCCACTTAGAAGTACTGGGGGTGAGGGAGCTTTTTAGCTGCTAGGGTTCGAATTACTTCTGAGTACAATGTAAGATAAAAATAAATTTATTTTGGAAAGTCATCTTTCAAGAACTTTCTAATCTGATGGGTTTTAAACCTGTTTTAAAGTGAAGCATTTTGTCAAAAGGAAAGGCTTAGTGAAAGTTACTTGAATTTTTGGTTGGAGGAAAGATGGTTCCCTAAGAGTAGTGTTTTGACTGGACATTTTGATCGTCTCCAAAGCTAAGGTCTTAAGCACCCCTGGAAAGACCATTGAGTCCTGTACTGGCAGCTGAAACTCTCTTAGATACCCAGGGAGGAGAACAAGTGGTTTGATGCAGGGAGCCTTTGCCAGACCTGAAGATGCTCCTGCTAGCCACTCCTAAAGATTTGGTCCCAGAGACCCTCATAGGCATAATTTGTATGTGATTTTTTTTTTTTTTAATGTCCCTTTTGCTTTGTAAGTAGCTTCATGATTCCTCAAGTTTTCCTGCCCTTTCATTGGGAGAGAAAACTGAACGGTAATGTTTGGTTTACAGTTCAGCAAACCGAATCAGACGTGTTTTAGGTGGCTCAGCCCTGATACTTCATCATTTAAATAGTTGACCAGACTGCTTAATGGTAGTTAGGAGAGTAGTACCCCTCTTAGAATACTTCAGTGTTTTGCTAAGAGAAATGCCAGCTACATTCAAAGGGTAGGAACAGTATTCTCCTTGTAGGTATCCGCCTCTAATAGGCTGGTTTCTCCTATGCTTAAGCTGCTGCTGTGCCGTGCCCAGTTTGCTGACTTCATTTGCTCACCCCAGTCCAGTAGGGCTCCATCTCTTGTATCTGTAAATGGGTTGGCACATGGCTCACAGTATCACCCTTACTGTCCTTTGATGGCTTAGTGATGGGGCACTTGTTGAAGTCACTCAGAGAACCAGTCTATTTTCTCCACTGCCTGAACCAACTGTGCCGTGGTTTTACTTGGAGAGTTTTATATGGTTTGGCCTGCTGGCCTGTGAAGCCAGCAGGGAATGGAAACCTTAGACATACATTGAATCATTAAGTACTTCTTGGGTTTGCTCATTCACGAAATCGAAATCGTTATTGAATGAAGGGGCTTAGGAGTTAAGTGTGTAGATTTGGAGGGTGGGGGCGGTGCTATAGCAAGAAGTGATTGGCAAAATGAAGCACAAGGCCCTGGGAAGAAGGCTGGGAGTGTAGCACCTAGCATGCAAGGCACTGGGTTCCATCTCCAGCACTACAAAAAAGAAAAAAGGGTGTTAAAAGGTAGGAAGAAACAGCCAGCCCAGCATGCAGGTGGGGGTGGAGGGACTACCCTGGATGGATGTTGAGACTTGTTGAAAACCCTAGAAGGGAAAAGACTGTCAGCCACAGAAAAGCCTGTGGAAAACAGAAGGTCCCTCTCCCTCCCTTACCTTCCTGCCCACAGAAAATCTTGAGCTGAAACCCTGAAGAGAGGAATGTCTTAAATTTAAAAAAAGTAAATGCCTCTCTAGGAGTTCAAATAAAGTTTCATTTTAAAAGTAAAAGATGCCGGGCGTGGTGGCGCATGCCTTTAATCCCAGCACTTGGGAGGCAGAGGCAGGCAGATTTTTGTGAGTTCGAGGCCAGCCTGGTCTACATAGTGAGTTCCAGGACAGCTGGGGCTACAAGGAGACCCTGTCTCAAAAAAGACAAAAAAAATAAAAATAAAAAAATAAAAAATATAAAAGTAAAAGACATAAACTCATCACCTTGCTTTATTACTCAGAACTTTTGAACTCAGAAAGGAACACTATAAACTCATGAAAGAAAAATGATTTACGATCATGTCCTAATCTTTTTGATTGTGTAGGAGGTGCAGACCGGGATCAGCTAGGGAGGCAGAGTTAGGGTGAGGACAGTCCCCCACAGGGAAGCAGCAGGCCATAACACCCAGCCAGGCCTTGCTGAATTCAGGCTAGGCTTGGGCAAATCTCCTCAGTCTTCCAGGCCTCCCTTTTTTTCCTACTGTGAAGATGCTATTCTGGTACCCTTGCTCATTTACTATTTTGAACTTCTGGATCTTATTTAAGATCTTTCCTAATATCCTAGTTTGGAGAGACTCTAGCTACAGCACTGAAAGATTTAACCCTGTGTTGGTTTTCCTAGGAAATTAAAATAGCAAAATTGATATTTTGAGGCTGCTTACATTAAGGAGGGTTTTAAATCATTCCCAAAGTGCAAGAGTCTTTGTGCCTCAGTCATTTCAGCCCTTCAGTTCAGCAAATGTTTATTAAACATCCTACAGAGCTGCAGAGAATTCTGGAGGGCTGATTTGACTCCTATTTCCCATCAGTCTCACAGAGACTTAGAGCTTCTAGCAGAGTTCACCTGGCCCTGATTCTGGAACTCCAGGCAGGATAAACCCATCACCTCAGGTTGGAGCAATTCTGTGGGAACTTTTTGAAAGACATTGTGGTCAACAAGTCTGAACCTGGCTCTTTCCAATGCAGTGTTTCAGAAGACAGTATGGAGAAGTTAATTAAAAGATATGAAAGGTAGGGGATTTTTATCAGAAATACCACCTTGGTTGAGTGACCTTAGAAAGGTGACTTCAGAAGCCAGGCATGGTGGTACACACCTGTAGTCCTAGCACTTGGGAGGCAGAGGCAGGTGGATCTCTGTGCGTTTGAGGCCAGCCTGGTCTACATAGTGAGTTCTAGGCCAGCTGGGACTACAAGGAGACCCTGTTTCAAAAAGACCAAAAAAAAAAAAAATGTGTGACTTCAGTTTCTTGGTGTCTCCTTTGTCTCTGTGATTACTGTAGGGGCTATAAGGTGTTAGCTGAGGACTTGGCTCAGGGCCTAGTCCATGCTATGCTGGGTGAGTATGAATGCAGCCTTCCTGGGTGGGTGCTTACTGCCTAGTAGCAGCTGAAAATGCAGCATCTCTGTTGCTCGTCACACTGAGATCTTGTCCATATTCTTATGTTATACTGAGGAAATTGAGTTCCAGAGAGGGTGTCCACATGATCTAAGATCAAACAGCTCACAAGAACCTGGAGCTAAAACAGAAGTGTCCTGTGCTTCATGTTGTTGAGTTCTTGTCTCATGTTGGTCAGTCTTTCTAGATAAACATCTAGTGCTATTCCTATAGCTCCAGGTGTGGTCAGGGGTATTGTTTCTACATGGTAAAATCCCAACTCTAGCTCTACTGAGGGTCTTGGGCTGTATTCCAGAACCTGTGTCTGGGTGCTGCCACTCCTCCCAAGCCAGTAGTCCCCTCCCCAGGTCTCCTCTGTATGTATCTGTTTTATTTCCACTCCCCTGCCTACTTAGTGGGAGGCATAGCCCTAATATCCCTGGTTTTCAGAAGATTCTAAGAAGGGAATTCTCTGGCCCAGCTTGAATCAGACACTCTTCTGTAGGCCGTCAGTTGTGCTCTGGAACTGGGAATATACTGGAACTTAGCCTGTCACACTTTGCCATGTGTGAGAGTAGGGAAAAAAGAATATGTTCTTCAGGAGAGAGCTAGGGAGGCCATGCAAAGCTAAGAATGCTGTCACAAGCTGGTTCTCAGTTTATCTCAGGTCACTGGAGAGGGTCTGTTAGGAGGATACTCTGAGTCATATGTGCTGTATCATAGAGCAGATCTCCTGCTCCTGCATATAGATGTGCTCATGGTGAGTGAGAAGAAGCCAGGCAAGAGGGACTGTGTGAGAAGGAATTTCTAGAACAGGACAGGAAAAGGGGGAGCTAGGACTCTTCAGGGGGTGTAGAAAGTTGCTGAGGAAAGAAGTGACTTTCATGTTGAAGAATTTGGTCTTTGTTCTCTAGATAGCTAGGAACCACTGAAGGATTCTGCTGGAACGACCATGTCACAAGGTCTGGCTCTGGGGATGCTCCCTTGGTGGCAGCATCTAGGCTAGACAGAAAGGGTCAAGTATTCTTTGCTGCTGGATGTCTTAGGGAATTGAGTGGGCCTTGGCATCCATCATTTTTAGCCAGTGGAATTGTTGAGGACACCTCGTGTTCACCTGTTTTCACACTTAGGTATGCAGTGCATAACCCGCAGAGTGACAGGGAAGAAACCTGTGTCATGAGGAGAGCTACTCTGAAATCTGACCCTCTTCACAAGCTGCAAGGAAACTGAGGATGAGGGGTTGACAGAGACCTGACCCCTGTGCTCA